AACTTGTAGCATAGCCTACTAAATGAACTGGGCAGGACATATTATTTAGCCCTGTAATATAGGCTAGCATACATCAGAGAGAGATGGCAGTAAGGGTTTCCACATGAAAAAAATGTTTTGAAACTACCAAAATGATGAGGATACAAAATTAGTAGTGGAAGTGTGAAGAAGCAGAGAGTGGGTACTGTCAGGTCAGTCTGATCCTGATCTGCAGAGATATTTGAGCCACACACAGACACACAGACAGACAGAGATTTCTAGCTTTTATAAAGAGATTACAAGTTTGACACACTTGAGATCATCAGCGTGCTGAGTGTGGGACTGTGCTGAGTTTGTGAGGGAGACACTCCGGACAGACCAAGTAAATGTACTACATATTCATTTACATGGAGTAGTGTACCGTTTATCAATTGGATCCGTGTTATGTGGCAACATGAGGTAGATTCCAGTGACAAATGACTTGAGGCAGAGCGACCAAGACAGGTGGTGAGAGAGCTTACAGGTTAATAGAGGTTGAATAGGAGAAGGAGGACTCTGACTACATTTGAAGCATACTTATAACCTGGTTTTGTTTACATGGAACATGGAGAAACCGGGTTTTTCCTCTCCCCGTATAGGTGAACATTATCCAGGTTTCTCATTGTCTCTTTCTCCACATCTCTGTCATTTCTGGACTGAATGAGTTCCCACAGCAGTTGCGGATGAACCCAGTTTGGCTTTTGGCTACCTGGAGTCAGCAGCATTTCTCACTCTCAACAGGATCTGGCTTCTCCATCTGACCATTAGTAATGGAAGAAGAATGTGACAGTGTAGTTTATCTTCCACATTACTGAAGTTAGACTTTATTTCTGCCTATAGATACATCATACATACATATCCTTTGTCCTTTATCCTTTGTTCTTAGTCATGTTAGCTAACTTTGGTAATCCCATGGCCTTTAATCTAGCGCCATCATCAGGTCAAAATGTAACTTTGTCCAACACTTTGGTTTATGATCAACTACCTGCAAAACTATTGAGATTCCCATCAGACTCAGCTGTTTTCTGTGTTTAGTGCTAATTGTCAAATATTAGCATGCTATGGTGAACATTGTAAAAGTGCTATCGCTAACATCAGCATTGTCATAGTCATGGTAATAGAGTACTGCAGGGATGATGTCTGTTTGTAGGCCAACCTGGAAGTTAGCATGCCATCGTTCAATTGACAAAAAAAATAAAACAATGGGATTGTTCATTGGATTTTGGATTAATTTACACATTTTGTTCAGTAAGATAATATTTACAAATTAAAAGTGTTAATGCAATCTCTAGAAGCAAAAGTTAACGTTAGGCTATAAATTAACTACACCACTGTGTGATAATGGATTTTGACGTTAGAGATGGGTTATCTTCCTATGTCCCATTTGTAGGTTTAGGTTACTAAAAAACTTGGTTATGGTTAGAGAGTGTTCATGGTTTTGGTTGAATATTGATACTGAATTTTCCAATATTTAACAATGACCACACTTATTCCCTTATATAATAAATTGCTTTGAGATGTCCTAACATAAGAATAAAATTGTGTTGGCAGTGAAAAGTTTGTAGTTTAATGAAAGAGTTCATATTTATAAAAACATAATGCACAGTGTAAAAGTGTATAAATGTAATCTTTTGTAACAAACATAATATGGCCTTATAGAAATAAGAACATAATACAACATAATGAGCACATTCTCCTTCTTTATAATGCCAAGTACAGTGGGTGCTACAAAATGTTACTTGGTCAAGAACTCGTCAAAAATACATATATTCTTCTCATGATCCTGGAGAAATTTACTTTTTGCTCAGCATATGGTTTCAGTGTGGCAGCTATACTGCAGCAGCAGCCACAGTACAGTACACAACATCCAGCTTCACCATCAATTGGATGTGGCCTTCAAATGATATCTTAGAACAGTGCTATTTTTTGCCTTGTTGGTTAGGTGCACAGAGGAAAAGTTATCCAGCATACATCCCTTTGTTTTTGGAGAGAAATGTAAGGCTGCATGCACCTTGGGAATACACTGGGAATGTGACACTGAACGTTTTACTTTACAGAAAAAGCATCTTAAACTCAAACCAGTGTGGTTGGCTGAGGCTGATTTTCATCCGTCTCACAGACATTTCTAGGTGACGGTTTAGCTTTTCAAACAGGTGTAACTAATTGCAGTAATTATGCCCACATCCCATTTACTGCACGTGTGCCTGCTACTGCACATGCTCAATGGCTAAACTAAACAAAGCCATCGTTAATGTTATTAGTTACACCTGTATCCAGTATATTCCTGCTTCGACACATCAAAATGTCTGCAGTGGGAAAGGTTTTCACTGTTTGCAAGGTCACACAGGGGTCCTTCAGGTAGTACTGGAAGACCAACATGGGGTCCCTTGGAGCCATAAAGATGTTTTCTAATGGGGTTTTATTTGAGAGGTTCCAGTAAATTTTTTGGAAGCCACAGGGTAACCTGGCAAAACTGTGAATTATGTAATTTTACTTGTCTTTTACCCATACCCATTGTTTTTTAATCATGGTTGCACACTACATAGTTATATTGTAAATAATAAAATATGAATAATGAATTAATTATTTGTTAAAACATTTCCTAATACAGAAATCACTGTTTCTTACATATATTCCTACATATACTGCTGGACTACAATTGTCTGGCTTTAAGAAATAGTTCTTGCCGAGACTTAGTGGAGAAGATAGACATTGCTCACATGTCTGCACAGTAAATATGAAGCCAGCAGCTGGTTAGCATAGCTTAGCATAGGGACTGGAAACAGAAGGAAAGAGCTAATAGGTCCCTTTGTTTTCAGTCTTTGTGCAAAGTTAAGCCAACTTTCTCCTGGCTTCTACTTAAAAGAAAGATATGATATGGTATCAATCGTCTCATCTAACTCTCAGCAGGAAAGTGAATTTGCATATATAGTACATCTACTCTGTCAGCTAACTGCTCATCTCAAACGCATACAGAGAAAGCTATACATGCTTTTCTCGTGGAATGATGAACGAACGACAAAAGTCCAGGTGGTCTTAGCACTTTCTCATAATCTTGAATTTATTTTAACAGGTGTAAGCAGTTGACGTACCCAGAGGACCTTCCTCAGATCTCTGTGGTCTTCATCTTTGTGAACGAGGCACTGTCAGTGATCCTGCGCTCCGTCCACAGTGTGGTCAACCACACTCCCGCACACTTGCTGAAGGAGATCATCCTGGTGGACGACAACAGTGACAGCGGTAAGACCTTTCACAGCGTTATTAATAGGATGAAAAAATATAAGGGTTGCTCAATTTCTTAGCAATGTGTAACCAGCCTTTAACCCCCGGCCTCTAACTGTATCAGCTTGACATGAATTGATGGCAGCCACTGTGGAAGTTTTCTGAACATTTCCTTTTTGCATCATGTTTAATTGTTTCTCCTCCACAAGTGTATCCTCTCATACTTTAAACTTCATTATAAAAATCATCAAACTTGCAGAACCTGCCGTTTATCATTGTCTAATGCTGTAGGTTTGCTTATGTAGTTGAGACAGTCACCCTATTTATCATGTTTTGTCTTCCCTAGTGGAACGTGAGCTAAGGCGTCATAGACGGATGAATTACTGTGATGTTTTTGGACTTGTGCCAGGATAGTCAGTCTTCTTATGCTATAGTTTTCCGAGTTTTCTGCTTGTGTTTTGGTTGAAGGGATAGGGAACCCCTGAGGGTGGACTCTCGAACACCAGGTTTTAAAATAGCTGTATAAAAAGAGGAAAAAGAAGGGATGGGATTTGTCTTGTCCTTTTCTAAACTGCTGCATACGTATGTCTCCAATGGCGAGGTGGGAAAATGCTTCAGTTGTTTCCACACCATGACGCCCACAGCAGCTGACGATGATCGACTCCACATCCCAAAAGCTTTCCTGTTTGGAGAAGGAGGGACAATGAACTAGATTCCAGACGACACTTGGCCCTCCTTCACTTGGCACTGAGTAACATGCCTGCCTCTCTCAGGCTGGCAGAGGAAAAGGGCGCATGAATAACATACTGAAAGAAGGCCGAGCGGGAGTTACCACTGGCACATCTCCGCTCCCCGCTGAGTCTCTAACTGTCTACCATTAAACATGAAGCCGTTAACAGCCAGTGACCAGACAAAAATGGAACCTGTCCGCTCCTCTCATTATGTCAGTCTGCGCCACCCACTTTGACTCTCACAAGGGTTTCCATGAAATACATTTTTGAAGGACAGCCATATTTTCACTATAAAGACTGCAATATTTATTGAGAGTATTTAATTTAATTATATTTCACCTCTCCTCCTTCCCATAAAATGTTATCATTGCAAGGTTATGCTAGCAGTTAGACACGTCATGGTAACAAAAACTCAGTACTTGGAGTAACTTTATTTATAAGCAGAAAACTCTGAAACATTTCTATTCTTTCTATACATTGTTTTTTTTATGTAGTTTTTGACAATGAGTAACCACCTTCATCAACAAAGGACATTGTGATATTTAAATCACAAAATTGGCATCCCATTCCAACTAATGAAACCCTGGAGAGTTACTCACTTTGCCACAGTAACACTTTAAGCATGGAAACTCTTCTGAACTGTTAAAATAAAGTCGTCTCCACCCAGAAGAAGTGACAAACTGAAACTGCTGTACAAGCTGTGTTTTAAAACAGCAGCGAGCGAAACAGAAAGCCAAACTCCTGTTACAGCTTCTGCCTCTGTCACTTCTTTAGTAACCTTCGCTGTTAAGCATCACAGACTGGGGTTTACCATTAGAGTCCTGTGTGCAGTTCACTGACACCAAGGTACATGACTACTAGGTGTTGACGTTCTTATCTTCCACTTGCCTTGTGCATGCTTCATATGAGGTCAAATTCAGTTCACTTTCAGCCAACACATCCGTCAGCGGCTCTTACTGTATGTTTACCATCAGTGATGATAATTTGTGCAGATGTGTGAGCTGTTTCTTGGGAGCCGCTCTGCTGTGACATTAGACAATTAACATGCAGGCTGGACTGCTTGACCTTTTCTGGATGGCTCTGTCTGTCCTCTCTCATTTAAACAAGGCTCAGTGAGACGAGCGACGGTACAGCCACACTCACTCCTGGCAAAATAAATCACGCACAGGAAGCATGTTTGCCTTGTCGCCGCGACACGTTTCCTTTGCTGGGACAGCGGTGACATTTATTGGTGGCTGAGAGGTTTATTCACACTGGTTCCAGCGGTCTGAACTAAATTCACATTCCCGGTGATGATATTTAGCTGCGTGTGTGTCAGGCAGCACAATTCATTGTTGTTCACCATGTTAGCAGCAAGGATAGGCTTAATGAGCCCTACAGGATTCAATCCCAGCAAATACCACCACCAAATTGATAACTTAATGATTCATATAATGAAAACAGGATATAAACTGAGGACCAGTTGAGTACAGCTTGTATTATTATTTTCGAGTGGAGCTAAATTACTTCAAACATTGCATGCATTAAATCAAATTAAAGCTTCTGAGTGTAAGATTTGCTTATTAACATACTGCCGAAAATTAGTTTGAGACATTGCGTCATTTGCAGAAAATAATTTTTGAAGTAGACAGTGTTTCTATTTACTATTACTGATCTTCCTTTGTTCTCCATTTGGTCTAATTTAGCTCAGTTTTTTGCTCAGTTCTCAAGTTTTTGTTCCAAACTGACTCTTCAGTTGAAAAAAACAATTAATGAGCAAGAGTTTGTCTTTGATGCACTGTAGTCGAGACGCTTGCATACAGCATTCAGTTACTTGCAATCAGAAAGGAGTGTCCAATATGTTTATGTTATATGTTTTATCTATAGAGCAGGTAATACAGTAACCTGGCACTAGATATTAAAAGAAACGAAGAGGAGTGATGAGAAGACAGAGTAGAGAAACAGAATTAAATTCAGGCTAGAGTAAATCCCTGGTAGCTGTTTTTCATAATTTATCTACCAGTGATTCAGAGAAAATCAAGCATATGATGTTGCCTGAGTAGAATTTTAAATTAAGGGGATGTAACAATGTTAAGAGTAGGTTAAGGGTGGAGGAGTCCAAAAACACGAACTCATTTACCATTGTGCTGTTTCCAATAAATGTGTGAGAGGTGGATAACCTCCATATTGCCGCTGCATGGATTATTTCCACAAAGCACAGGTCTAATGCCAAAATGTTTCCCACTTACAGTCGAGGGCTCATACTGTAGCGCTGCATTTGGATGTTATTCCTAAGAGGCTGCTCTGCCAGGATAAGTAGCATCATTTTACTTCTGGCAACAATTTTTTTTTGAATATTTAATGAACATCACATTACTTGTGGTGAGCCAGTTTACCCATTTAGGCAACTTCACTAGTCTGCTTGTGACAGATCAAAGCGATCAATTTCAGACCTGTTTCCGTATCGGTGTCTGAGACAAGTCCATAAATCCACTGTGAGAAGACTGTGGCCTGTGGTTTGTGGAGCTGGAGTAAATCTCTTCTCTGAAAATGATCATGACACAACAAAACACAACTGACAGGCTGATCTTACTGGATAAAGAATATCATGCAGGTTGTTTTTTAGGGTATACTCGTAGTTAGTGAGCACATGCGAGGCAGTATGTGGGAGGATATAATTCAAGCGTTGCAACATATACTGTAAGTGAATTCTAAGGCTTTACCACAGTTTAAATAATCAAATGCATGTTCAATACCTCTATCCTTAACACAGCGGCTGCCATAATCTCCCGTCGCCAAAGGAATTCATGGTGCTCCTCTTGAGTCTACTGTGCATTCATTTTAAATTCATAGCATGATGGATAGTTATTTATCCTCCGCTATGTTGCACTGCCAGTCCGTTAAAATGTATTCCCTGCTCCATAATTCTCCTCCCGTGGATGCAGTCCAATGTTTTATTTGCTAGGATCAGAGGGAGGCCCATAACTTTTCTCCTTCCCAGCAAAGCCCAGTAATTATTGCTCTCTAATAGCTTTTATCATATTGTAGCTGCAGGGTAGGCTGATGATGAAGGAGACTCATTGCACAGGTTCAAAAGCTCCAACAGTACATACAGAACCAAATTGCAAAGGTCTCTGGACCCTCAAAGAGGAACAATGCAGCTTCCAACTGTGACTGATTCAAATGGGAATGCAGTAAAGTTGAAGCTCATTATTTATAAATGATTTTACGTGACATTAGTACTAAATGTTTCTACCCACCACTCTGAGATGCTTTATACCAAAGAGATGAGAGAGAAAAAGGTCTAACTTTGAAGAGTCCAACTTTCTCTCGGTGGAGTTTTTTAACTGGCACTTCGGAGACAATTAAAACTTTTGGGTTTTTAAAAAAAATGTTTTAAAATATTTTAAAAGAGGTCATTTGGATAAAAGCAAACCTATATAACGTCAATTCTAAAATCATCACTTTATATTAGACAGAATTGGTAGGTAAGTGCTGAGATCTTTGACTCAAGTCAATTTAAACAGTGAGTAACATTTAGGAGGATCTATCGACAGAAATGGAATGCAATGTTCATAAGAATAACATATTTTCAACAGAGGGAGCGGGCCCTCGTCCAAGGGGTCAGCCATGTTGAACCACCATGTTTCTACAGTAGCTCAGAACTGACAAATAACTGGCTCTAAATAGGGCCTTTTTGCATTTTTGTAGCCACTGTAGTTTCTCCTACATGCTAGGAAGGTGAATGGTATTCAGTTGGTTGCAACTTTACTGTTATGTCACTAATCCCAACACACTTGTCCTTTAACTGTAACCATTAACCTTTAACCAACAAAGAAATGCTAAAATAATATTTTCAAGTGAAGTCCTGCATAGTGTCAAAAGTAAAAGTAATTGTTTGAAAGAAAAATGCCCACTTTGACTGATATATTATTAGATGATACATTAGATTCTTGATACTGATGCATAATTATAAGTATTTTGCTGTTGTAGCAGGTGATGCTAGTTTCATGTAGTTGAGTCCAGTGATTTCCACTCTATAAGGCTCTGTCCTCCCTAAAAGGTCACAAGATAAATCTGAGGGCCATGATTAGTAGGGGAGAAAAGAAGGAAAACAAAACCGGAAACAAAATGTTCTTTGTGTCTTATCTTTGCTTTTTTGTGAAATATTGGATAATTTAACCTCTTTGGACCTCAAACAATGAATGAATGAACAATCAAATAAAACACTGAGACATTTAACAGGGGAAATTATTGTTTGGTGGAACTGTTAACAACTCATGGATTTAAAATGCGAAATCTAACTATGCCGTATTTTAAATCTTATTAGATTTATAAATGTAAATCTGCCTTTAAAGTAGCATAATTGGAAATATTTATGTAAAGTAGAAGTACCAAAAAAAAAAAATGTAAGTATAATACTTGAGTTCATGCACTTAGTTACTTCCCACCTCTGGTATTAGACACGTACACCTACATCTACAGGCAGCGTGTCTTTGAACAGGGGGAGAAACATGACCAGTAGAAGTAGCAGATTCAGATATAGTACCAATTTGCAGTCACAGCGCTAACCACTGATCCATCCTGCTGCCCAATTGTTCATGTTAAACATAAGAGCACTATTGAAGTAGAAAACATCCACAGACAGACAAAGACAGATACCAAGTTCCCATGACTCCCATGACTGGTTGCTTTAATTTGGTGTCAAACGCTAACGCCTGTTTGCTTCAAGGGTCACTGCTTCCAAATTCGCCCTCTCTGCCTGCAGCCAGCACAGCTGTACAGGATGCTAAGACCTTCAGGTAGAAAGAGACTCCTACACTCACTGCCTGTCCTCAGTCACACAGACAGGGGATTAGACTGCCATTTTTTACTCACTGGCTGATTTATGTTTTCGAGCCAAAGTCAGAAGCAAGGTGTGGATGCTGTTTAGAGACGGTGTGCCACGAGTGTCCTTATTAATCTCTCCCTCAGAAAGTGGAACGCTCAGCAGTAACCCAGAGGAGAAGCTCAAACAGCCATCTATCCTCAGACGAAACACAGACAGCAATTTGTGCATCTGGCTGTTTACCCGGCAAACTTTGTTTCCAGTGATGACAGCCAGCCTCATCTGTGAGAGCAGAGCAGAAGGGATGTTATAATCCAGTTGGAATAAAGACGTCAGCAGAGGAATAAATTAGATAGCTGCACTGTACAGCAATGAAAGTAACCTTGAAGATTGTCTGTTAGGCTTTTTAAAAGAATGCTGCTTTTGTTCGTTTAATTAGATTTATTGTTCTGTGATTTAAAAACATAAGCTGCCAAATATCACAACAATTTTCTGAAAAAATATGTGAGCCTTCAGTTGATATTTTACCTCTCTCATCAGTTCAGTATCCTCTTTTCTCACTATTTGCAGCTGCTATCATGAATGTAAAGTTGTCAGTCAGTTGTCAGGCAGCAACTGGAGGGAATGGACAAGATGCAGAAGGGGGGCAGAGAGGTCACAGGGCAGGTCTGGCCAGGTCTGGTGTTGGGCAGTAATGCCTTACTTAATAATTACAGAAATTTACAATTTTGGGGGTTCGGCTTGTTTGCGAACCTCTGAAACACACGTCCAGCGGTAGTGTGTGCCATTAATTGGACCATGACTTAGTCTAAATAAGAATGGTGGGAAAATTCATTTTGTCTGTTTTTTGTTTTGTTTATTTGACAATTACTATAAAATGACAATTAGCATGGTTAGACCACCATGGTACCTGCACCATTAAAAAAACATCAAGAAAGTAACAGGACATATTTCCATAGTGGTCCTCACAGAGTTCTATAACTCTGTGATTCTGTTTGATGTCTTGTATAAGGGCACCTCGGCAGTGCCTAGGTGGAGGAACTGGCACCCCCCAGCTACCAGTCCACACTCGTACTGTGGTCTGTGCTGTTTATCATTAGATGAGCCATTTATATCTACAGACGCCGTTGGTCGCCCTCTATGGAGTCTGCCATGTTTCTACGGTAGACCAGGACAGACAAACCAAACACTGAATTTAATCGGGCCTTTTCCGTTAGTTTTGCAGCCGACGTAGTTTCTCCAACTGCAACTTGACTGCAAGATACCACTAAATTCTACTCACAAGGTGTTGATGATCAAGATATACCTCCAAACTATACACTGGCTGCTTGTCAAACAATTATACCTTGTCTTCTCTTTTATACATGAAGCACAGATGATTTGTTGTGTGAGTATGGAGGCTTTGGAGTTGTTTAAAGACACCTGTGATGGGGCGGAAGTAATTTAACTATAGTTACTTTTTCAATTTGTAGTGAGTAAAAACAAAAAAATGTCTAAATGAACACTAACTTTTATTGCAGTCCTGACATAAAGACTCTAAGGCAAGTTGGGCCAAGACCCATTAAACATTTGTTTTCGGTTATCGTGGAAATACTGGTTCATATTGTCATTTGGATGTCAACTAAAAAAAGGTTCTCTCTAATCTGCCCTCTTTCAGTGGAGCTGAAATTCAACTTGGACCAGTATGTGAACAAACGCTACCCAGGCTTGGTAAAGATTGTGAGGAACAGCAAGCGGGAGGGCCTGATCAGGGCCAGAATACACGGCTGGAACGCAGCCACGGCTCCTGTCGTCGGCTTCTTTGATGCCCACGTCGAGTTCAACACCGGCTGGTAAGAAAAGGTCATGTTTAACACGACATGGTCTAAGCTGTTTCTCTGTCCTTTCTCACCTTTACCTTTGCGGTTTGCTTTTTATGTTTTCAGTACAGAGGGATGTCATGTAAGATTATTACCGTTGAAATATGCAGTTTAGTCTGCCTTAAGCATTTTGATATAATGCCAGGCCATTTTCTGACTGAGACAGCACTTTTCACTCGAATGACCCTCATTATAAGTCAGGGTTTATCATTAAGAAGCCTTTCTCTCTTGCATCTCCTTTTTAAATTGTGAGCTATGGGCTTTGGTTTGAGTTAAATAAAAAGACATACCACTTTAAATGACACTTCCTGTCCAACAAATACACATTTATGACAAGAGAGAGAGCCAAACACTGTCAAAGGCGAGAGAGAGTGTAATTAAAGAGGGAGCTCAAATGTTGAGATCATTTTACCTGCAGGCTTTGGGCTAATTTTGTGATATGAAATTACTTCTGGGGGTCTCAGTCCAATGTCTGCCTGCTGCTTAAGTTTACCAGCAAACAAGTCACTCAAATAGATGTAATTGGCACCTAATTTGAGCCTGTCATGCTGTCAGTGTTTGAAGATGAAGTGTAGCTTTTGTTCCCTGGGAAGCTGCCTGGGAGGCAAGAGGGGGACAAGGGGGGATGAAGGAAGAAGAGGAGGGATGGAGGAGGATAGCAGAGAGAAATGTGTCAGTTTATAAATTGTCTAGTGTCCATGGGTACAGCCTTTTTGGCTAACTAGATACAAGGAATGTAAAGAAATACTAATACATTGTTGGTAAATGAACAGACAGTGCGCTCTGAACTTATACGACAAGCTTAAGCATCCCCAACACCCCACTTTTACTCTTAACTAAGTTGAAACACACTTCAGTCATAGACAGTAAGGTGCTCCACATAACTTCAGATCTTGGCTTACAGTCATCAAATTCAAACTTTTTTTTCTTCAGTATGTAATCCAAGGTGTAGGTGTCTGGAGGTGTAGATAGTTTTAAGAGAAATTAATCCTTTGTTGTGCAGGGTAAAGCTTGACTGAAGTTGGATATTGAAGCTGTGCTCTTTGCGTGCCTTGACAGTAGTTCTGTGAATTCAAAAAATCTCTCAATGTGTTCTCAGTCTTTTGGCTACACATTTTCAGATTCTTATACACATTTACATCGTCTCAGGCACATTTATATATTTGTGTACATGTTCACAAATCTTGTTACACTTGCAAATCTGAATACACATGTTCTTACACGTAACTTAACTTTCATCTGGATGCACAGACTTGTTAAATAGTGCAGTCTGGCCAAATTAGTTATTACGGTCAATGTTTTATATATTGGTCAAAGTAAGAAGCTAAAGTGCGAACTAAACTACTAAATATAGTCATTGGTGATTGTTTTCATAGACACTTCGGACCAACTTTGTGGAAACACTTTTAATTTCCGTCTAGACCTTTAACAGATACACAGCTTTTATTTATGATCAGATTGGATATTCGGTTTTTGAACACGAAACATGAATACTTATTTGATTCATTTAGGTTTTGATGTATTTTATTAACAGCTCAGTAAAGTATAAATAGCAGTAAAATCCTCGCATATCATGCCTCACGGGTTGCAAACAAAAAAGACACGCCTGTTAAAAGCAAGCTTTACGTTCAGTTTATGAATGATACTAAACAAGGCCACTGTCTCACTCCCTTGGTTTATTGAGATGGCGTGAAAACACTTAAGTTCAGGGTGAACATGACCCAGCTTATAAAATGAATAAAGCATACACACTCAATCTATCAGCCATTTACTATACCACCAAAGACATTGACCTTGTAACTCTTGCAAAGGAGTGAGATAATGTACCTTGATTATTGCCTCTCAGCACGCTATTTTGTAGCATGAATGGGAACTTCAGGCCCAGAGGCTGTGCAAGGCGAACCGCCCAGCCAGCGAACAGCGCTCAGGGAGAAAGTTGCATCATTGCCTAGGTACATTACTGATGATAATTGATACCCTGGTGGTTCCCTCATCTGTTTCCCCATCTGTTCTTGCTCAAAAATAGACAAGCCTTTTCATGCCCCCATGTAACCCGTTCACCTCCGTATAGGCTTCCTTCCTTGTCAGTTCTCGTGCTATCCCATCACCCAACCACCCCACTCCCGCTTGCTCTACATGCAGAGGCTGTGTCAGCAAATTTCCTTTGAGTTAGTTCACCTGCTGCCATCGTGTGAATTTCACACACCTCCCTCTCTTCAGTCCCCCCCCTTACACACCCTCACCCACGTACCCGCCTCAGTCTTCCTTTGATAACCCGCTTCCTTCATTTTTTTTGTTTTGCTGCTTCAGATTTGTTTTTGTGAGAGCTTTTATTTACAGGAGTCAATGAAAAGTAGAACAGAATCCCTGTGATTTTTCTTCAAGTAGATGCTGGGTAAGGGGATATAGAAATGGAGGAGATGACAGGCATCTTCCAGAAGCTCGATCGTGTAGCTTAGATATCTTTTGTGTGTGTCTGTGTCTCCTTTTTATTCAGATAGATTCACTCTTGGTATCTATTTGTTACAATGGAAGAAGCCTCCTATTTATCATAATTCGATTATTCACCATTGCACATACAGTGATAAGTGAGATGGATGGTTCCTCTAGATGTTGTGGTGAGTCTCCCTCAATGACCTTGTACACACTGCCTGTGCATACTGAGCCAGAGACAATGCTGCCAGCTCTCAGCTGCAGTGCTGTGATTCATTGGCATAGTGCCCCCCCTCCCCCCCAGGGTGCTGTACATTTGCAGCTGAATGTATTGCTGGTTCGAATTACTGTTAAAGCAAACATAATTGTATCATAGTAGGGTGCACTTGACAGCCGTTTCCCATTCCCTCACACCATGTTGGTTTATGAGGAGTTAAGAAGTGAGCGGTTTCCACCAGAGGAGTGATGTAATTTGATTTCCACGGTTTTGCTCTGCTTTAATATGACGGTATGAAATTGTTGCCCATCATTAATGTGGTATTGCATCAGCTAAATGTTCACAATCCATCTGCTGTAACGCTCTATATCCATCCATCCCAGAGACAACGGTTGTCCATTCTGCTCCAAACAGGAGCAGTTTCCCCCTGCACACTCTGTAAATAAACAGAATTAATGGCAGGAAATGGGAGCGTGTTGTAATTACGACCTACTGTATGCCACCCCTAAACCACGCAGCTGCAGAGGGGAGGCGTAAGGAAATTGATATTTATTTGGGTTTTGAAGCCCCTGCACAGTTGCAATCTCAGGTTATTAACGATTAATGATTAGAAGTGTTGCAGCCGCTCCCTGCAGTGTGTGTGTGTGCTGGAGATAAGATTGTCATTGCAAGGAGGTTGTAATGAAATACATGCTTCAGAAAGCAACACTTTGATGAAATTTGAATGCTCCGCTGCTATGTGACCTTCTTTTCTAAGAATAAGACAAACTGGTGGAATTCATAAAAGTAAGAAACAGATAAAACCAACCTCCGCCTCCTGTAATTATGAAATATGTAATATTTGTCACATCCATATTTGATATCAGTTCCTTGTTAATATCTTGGAGCTCTATCTGCTTATAATGCTGTGCAGGTGCAGTGGTATTATATTAAATTCAATGGTACATACATTTCAGAGTTCTTGAAGGCTGAGGAAATATTTTTTTTAGCAAAAATAAATAATTTCTTTACTCTTGCTGGTGGCTCAGAGTTTATATCTGTCTGGAGACAACAAAGACGGCTGCAGCCACACTGAGTGCCTCACAGAGCACAGGCCAGGCACAACTCCAAAACCGCAGCAAAGACAGAGATTTATGCCACCTTTACATTTGTATCATATCAACCCCATCCAGAGCAAATGCATTTAGAAGTAGTGTGGAATCTACATTGCATCGTCAGAACCTTTTCCAGTTCATGCTTCTGCGTCAAAAAGCCCTGACGGCATAATGAATTCATATTCTGCGTGGATACCTTTTTACTTTCTTTAGATTTTGCATTTTTTATAGGAGGCATGAGACTGGCCAATATTAATATGTGCTCTACATGTACATGTCTGAGCTGCTCTGTTTAAAAAGAGCCTGGCAGGAGGACTGTGGACGGCCTCTCATTTACAGAGATTTAATGCGCTTAAAAATGGCTAGAGGCACTGCAGGCTTAGATTCTTCTCAAAGACACATCACATCATATGCATATGCCTCATATGTACACAGCAAGCATAATGAACATTATCAAAGCTCATTAAACGCTTTACAAGTATATATTTGGGTCCACATCACAGCGTTCATTTAACTCTTTTTAAAGTGTTGGTATTTTAGCACAGTGAGTACATATATATGAAAATGATCATACTGTATATAATATGTAATTATTGTTTGGTTCAAATTGAACAGCCCTCAGTGCTACTTAATGTTGGCTGTTGTCAGCACTAGAGTGCATTTAGAAATGAACTCCCTCACAATGTCAGTGTTAACTATAGGAGTTCACTCCACATTAACCCAGTAAGGTGTGAATATGCTTGTATTTCATAAATCACATCTAATGCAATCAACAGTGAACATACAGTAACCTGAGCTAAAACAAGACAATGTCTTCAACCCCAGTAACCCCCTATTTATTATGTTGTAATAGGCGCTATAGTGATAACTGTTATCATCCAAAATATTAATAAAACACATATAATGATGACAGAAAATAACAATACATTTGAAATATTAAATTATATATTAACTAAAATAAAAAGGATGAATGTGTGTTCTTAATACAGTTACATACGTACATACTACCAAGAAATATCCAGCTTCACAAATTAAAAGAACTGATTAAGGCTCTTGGCAGTAGCTAGCAAAGAGAGCCAACTTTTAAGCTAATCTTAAGTGATAAACAGCAAGCAAGGTAAAGATACGATCTGCAATTAAAATACATGTGAATGTGCATTTTGGGATAAATTATTCGATTCATCCATGAAAGCAGTGGTACACCAAAATTACATTTTTTCCTGCATGGATAGCTCACATGTTCTGCTGCGTTAGGTCCAATGCAGAATTAAAGGAGATCTTATTTTAGGCACTGAGGGCCCTGCTGCTCTTGGGGCATAATACTGAGCGCACTTAGATTCCATTATCTGATAATTCCCTGCTTCACAATCATTAACAATTTGAGATCCATTTATCTGGAAATTTAAAAATAAAATGTGCAATCTCATAGGGGAGGGCTGCAGGGGTTTTATGTCAGCACTGGACAGAGGAAGGACAGATAGTGAAACATTCTGAGGTTGAGTCAAGCAGATATATAAATTGAGATTTTACAGAGATATTTGTCCTGGCTTGTTACACACTGTGCTGTTTGTTTAATTCTGCGAAATGTGTGCGCAGCCTGATGTTGAGCTCCATAAAGGTACCGGCTATTATGAAAGACAAACAGGCAGCCATGAAGAGTTTATAAATCAAAAGAGCTCCTGCTTCAGTATGGACTGCTACAAGAAATGGCATGGTGGAGCGAATGGCAATGAAGGTTGTCAACATGTATTCACAACATTGGATGAGTCATCGCTGGAAGGGGGAAAAATCCTATTGTAATATGAAACGGAGAATGATTCAGGCCGATGTGGATGAATAACGCTCTCGGTGTTATGCAGATGAAATGGCAGATACAGGAAGAGGAATTACACGGGCTCATCTGTCAAACCCACATGTGTCCTTGCTTCCAGAGCGTCTCTATCTTATCAGCCTCAAAGATCCCGGAGGTACAGGAACTGCTGGCTGGCTCTGGGTTGTTTCTGGGGTTCTGAAGGACGCAGGGAGATGAATTGAAGGTGCTGGGACGGCAGAGAAAGCACCTCAAGGTTAGGGAGTATAGGAAGAGATTCAGTAGCAGCAACGCCTCAGCTAACCTCGACAAACTAACCACGTCAGGAACAGCGATACATTAAACAAACCTGTCTAAAGGTTTAAAGCCAAGTCTTCATTCCAGCACATATTGTACACGACATGTTGGCCTTCAGTCAGCAACGTTTGCTCCTACTGTCTTTTTCAAACAATGGAGTGATTCATTGAGTGAGATGGCTTTCAAACATCAAAAGGTTTCACAAAGAATTCACTATGTTGCAACCTGCAGCAGTAAGAACTCGTTCAGGCCATTTCTCTGCAGAAAAGTGTTTTTGAAGTTTAACTGTCAGATCTACTCGATTGTTTTCCACCAAACAGAATCAGCACCTAAACACATCTGTGCATCTTGCGGCACTGCAGTAAAAAAAAATCCTGAAGCCCTATCCCCACAGACCACCATTAAAAAGAGACATCTGTGAAACTGTTGCCAGGACACCTTGAACTGCAAACCAGATCAATTCTTCAATTATTGCTTTTTGTATTTAGAATTTTCAGTGAAGGTGTTATATTGGTACACCTTACCCAGAGCCTATTTTCATTTTCAAGTTTGTGATGTCAAATTTCATTACTTGCTAACTTATGATTATAAAGAAGCTTGTCTATGATTTCTTGCAGTGTAAATGTCATTTAATTAAAATCTGAAATTGGAAAAAAATGAAAAAAGGTGTAGTTTTGGTTATGGTACACCTGCATCTAATGCCCTCCGATACAACTGTTCTGCCTTAAAGCCTACTTTTATTATTATTTTATTTTTCTCATAGAGGTGTTCTAGCAATGAGGTCACAGTTAGTATTGGTGTTGTACATGAATACATTATACTGTGAGGTTTTTCTAATATTCTGCCAACACTACATAACACCACCTTTAACAATGACCTTCAACATGAACATATAATTGAATTTACAAAACCTTTGTAAAAGCAGAATTTATGGCGGTCTTTCATAGCATACAATGTTATGCATAAGTTTAAAGAAATAGTTTTTCCATTTT